TTACAACTTCTCTTGCATTCAAGACAGAGCCCTTCGAGCCTCATGGCTACCTCAACATCGTAACACCTTGCATACTACCATCGTGAACCCTTGTGGACTAGGACGCAAACCAGGCCGATCTTCTCAGCTATTGTAGCAGCACGGTTGCTCCTAACGTGCCCCTCTCTGGATGTATCTTCGGACACACAGCCCTCGCAAGAAGATGTTGCAAGACATTCCGAGCGACATCTTGCCAGAGGATACTTTAGTAAAGAATCTTTTTCCACGATCCGACGGACGTGCCTCAGCCTGAACTTCAGGTTGCGGGCTCCGCTTCAAATTTGGCATCTATGAGAGGGGTGCCGGAGCCAGCAACCCCTTCTCCTGCAGGTGTTCCCCTTGTCAAAGTCGGGCATACCTCCGCAAACCACCAGCAGTCTTACTGCGTCGTGGAATACATTCAGTCCCAAAGGTGCCTCACGGTTTAGTAGGGCCGTTAGGGTAGATCGCTCTGGGATTTGCGACCGAGCCACAATGCGGGCCTTGGGAGCCAACGGTTTCGATTGTCGGGTTTTGGGTTGGGTTTAGGCTTAAGGCTTAGGGCTTAGAGTCAGGCATCATACTTGGGGTTGAATCTTCGAACCTCCCAAGCGGTTGCAGTTTGCGATGCCTTCAACTCTTGTTTCAGATGGTTGGGATCAAGGCCCAGCGGGATGGGAACTCAGACTCTGTGAACGTATGTCACAGAGCAGTGAACCAAGCAAACGTCAGCCTCGAGAAACCGGAATGAAGTAGAGCTAGTCTTCAGGGGGTTAAATTTCTTGGGAAACAACCCGTTGAGATCAGTGAGATCAAGAAGCTAGTTGCGCCGAGGTTGCGCTGTTTGTGGCCCAATCATGAACCTCCCCTTGACAGAAACCTCTATGTAAGCCTAAACCCTGAACCCTAAACCCTAAACCCTAAACCCTAAGCCCTAAACTCCCGAATTCTTTCAACCTCTCTCCAAGTCTTGCCCAGCCTTTTCGGAGCCCCGGCCGAAGGGCGCCTCACCTCCTCCTTCCTACTAGGGTTTAGGGTTTAGGGTTTAGGGTTTAGGGTTTAGGGTTTAGGGTTTAGGGCTTAGGGTTTAGGGTTTAGGGTACAAGAGCTCCTGTTCTTAGACCGCTGATGATGCGAAGAGAGGCACCGGGGGCAGCTTCCCGAGCTCCGAGCTCCACGGCCTTCGCAGGCTTTTTTGTGAGCCAGGGTTGAGGGGTTTAGGGCCTTTAGGGGTTTAGGGCAGAGTCCAGGAAAGGTCTTGGCCTCGGAGTGTGGGATGCGAGCTTTGGAGGCTGGGGCTTTCAGGCTTTGGCCCTCAGATCCGAGGCTTCGGGGCGCGGTGGCGCCACAGAGCCTCGACGACAGGTAACTGGGAAGAGAAGCCAAGTGAGCGCATGCACATAGCTCGGAGAGATGGCCGTGAGTCGGATTCCAGACAGAGGCGCACGAATCGCACGAGTGGCTTGCAAGCTTTGCACTTTGCACGGCTCACAGAGGACGGAGCCTCAGCTAGGGGAGGCGCAACTGAAACCATCTCGGCGCCACCAGGGAGCCCTCAGCACTCGTCGCTTCGCTACTCTATCCGAGCGCTCTTCATGACAGGCTCGCTCCATCCGGACTGCAGGTGATGCGAATGCCAAAACTTTCAAGGAAATCGACGTGCAGGTGCCGCCCGGCAGAACATTACAGGAACTGAGAGGGGACACCAGGGGAAATCTCAAGTTGAATGCCTCGTCAATCAGCTGATCAGCAGTGCCTGACACAAGTCATGGGGCAAGGGACGGCTTTAAAATGGTCCCTACGCCCCAAGCCTTTGCTGGTTCAAAATACTCTTCTTCTGCGCTTCGCATGGAATGGTGCAGAACGACAGCTCTCTCGTTTGCGGCTTGTGCGGGCACCGTTCCATCAGAGCCGGCACCCTTTCAACACCTTGGGGCCGCGGTCTCAGGCCATGCGAGTTGAACTTCAAGGAACAGCCTCCGACCACCGAAATTCTGTGCCAAGTCGTGAATTTCGGCGTCTTCGGCTGGATTTGGGATATCCATACCCTTTCTAGCAAGCCCCATCTCCCCGCAAGACACGAGCTTCAAGGATCTTGGAGGCTACCGTAACGGTCACAGCCTCAGAGCCAAAACCTACCTACCTACTTGCACATGCTAGAGGTAACCCCCGCACACAGCCGGCGGTTTCACGGAAACCTCCGAAGTGATGGGTGCTGGCTTGGAGAGAGCTCTTCACCTCGGCCTGGCCCCTGTTTCCGGCTGGACTACACTGGCCTGCACGACATGGGCCGCTTCAACGTCCATGTCTCGAAAAGGCCGCCCCGACGCGCATCTCTCAGAGCTCACCAAAAACTTAAGGCTTCAGGGCTTCAGAGCGGGTTTAAATTTCAGGGCTAAGGGGTTCTGGGGTTGTGCTAGCCCACAGCCTTCTGCTTCGTCGTGGCCGAGGGCCAAGGGTCGACACAAAAGGCTGCACACTTTACAGGGTGTACTTTTGTGAGGGCTTCCGTATTTGGAGTTTAGGCTAGAAGGCAAGAGACGGCTTTAAAATGAACCCTACGCCCCAAGCCTTAGTGCTGCCTCAAAGTAATCTCCTTCTGCGCTTCGCATGGAAAGGTGCAGAACGACAGCTCTCTCGTTTGCGGCTTGTGCGGGGACCGTTCGAACGGAGCCGGCACCCTTTCAACACCTTGGGGCCGCGGCTCAGGCCATGCGAGTTGAACTCCAAGGAACAGCCTCCGACCACCGCAAGTCTGCACCAAGCCGTGAATTTCGGCGTCTTCGGCTGGATTTGGGATATCCATACCCTTTCTAGCAAGCCCCATCTCCCCGCAAGACAGGAGCTTCAAGGATCTTGGAGGCTACCGTAACGGTCACAGCCTCAGAGCCAAAACCTACTTACCTACTTGCACATGCTACAGGAAACCCCCCACACAGCCGGCGGTTTTACGGAAACCTCCGAAGTGATGGGTGCTGGTTTGGAGAGAGCTCTTCACCTCGGCCTGGCCCCTGTTTCCGGCTGGACCACACTGGCCTGCACGACATGGGCCGCTTCAACGTCCATGTCTCGAAAAGGCCGCCCCGACGCGCATCTCCCAGAGCTCACCAAAAACTCAAGGCTTCAGGGCTTAACCGCGGGTTTTGAGTTCAGAGCTAAGGGGTTCTGGGGCTGCACACTTTAGAGGGTATACTTTTGTGAGGGCTTCCGTGATTGGAGTGTAGGCTAGAAGGAGGGACAATCCGGTGAAATCTCAAGCTGAGCCTCGTGTGAATGCCTCGTGAACTAGCTAGTGGCTGTCGCAAGTCAAAGGGCAAGGGACGGCCGTGAAATGACCCCTACGCCCTAAGCTTTTCATGTTTTCTCTGTTGTATGCTTGAGACTTACACCGAGCGGCATGGAGCAGAAAGCCTGCGATTGCAGCAAGCTTTTCCATTCTGCTTGTTACATCCTGGCCACCACAAGTGTTTGCGATGAATCGCCCACAAACTTACTGCGAAGCCTTCAACCCATCAACCCGCCCGATGAGTCTTGGCAGCAAAGATTTTAGAGAGTCGCCTGGCCTCCTCAAAGACTCAAAGGCAGCTACAACTCGGGCTAGCAAGAAAACACCCCCTCAGGTTTAGGGGCGGGTGGAACCGTTGCATTTTCGGCCCTTCCGGCTGATCTTCGTTGAGATGTGACGAAGTACGACTGGTGCCTGAAAAGATGCTTTGCGGCGCACCGCATCAACTGTGGAACGGCGATACCTCACCCACCCACGATGTTTGGTATCTTCGGCGGCGCGCAGAGGGGGCTGTCTATGCAAGTGCACAACACAAAAAAGCAGCTGCTGCAACCCGCCTCAAGGCACTCCCTGCCTCAAACGCCCCTTCGAAGCTTCACGGCTCTTTTATTCCCGTCTGTTCAAGCTTAGGCATCGACAAGGGGCCCAAAGATCTGGCAAAGTCTACAGATCCTACTACCAGCGCCGGCTGGCGAGCAAACCCAGCCAAAACCCGAAGTTGCTGCAAAAACCGCTGCATGAAGCTGTCGGCCTGAAGGGGTGCAATAGCTTCCATGGCAGATCTACGTCAAATCGTACCGTAGAGTCAGGTTGGTGAACAGCATGCAGGTGTTCGAAAGCTGTCCAGACGAGATGTATGGAACACTTCCTTCTAATGCAAATGCTAAGGGCCTGAGCCCAGCGCGCACACATGCAGAAGCACATGTTGTGTTAATAAAAGACCAACCTATGTGATCACGTCAGATCAGCAAAGATGCACATTTTGTCATCGACCAAGCGCATGAAACAAACAACGGAAACACTCAGTGACCGAAATACCATTCCAACAACATACTCGCAAAGAAACCCGCTCATCTCTCGCTCCCTGCATCCTTAGAAACCTGGAATTCGACAACGGGCTTCCAAACCAAAAGACGTGCCAGATGAACCCTAAACCCTAAACCCTAAACCCTAAACCCTAAACCCTAAACCCTAAACCCAAGACATCTGAAAAAAAAACATTTCCGTGACAACGGCTTCCATCTCTCGCCTGAAATCGCTTCCCAGAGCATTCCGAACAAGCGGGGTTTAGGGTTTAGGGTTTAGGGTTTAGGGTTTAGGGTTTAGGGTTTAGTTCGTGGGGTGCGCGAAGGCGAAGGATAGACCAGATGTAGCTTTTTTGGGATCAAGACGGGAGTAGCTTGTGCTTGGCTTTTTCGCCGACCCCAATGCAAGGTCTGCTTACTGTCACTTGTGTGGTTTCGGAGCACCATAGAAAGCCAAATGCTGTCCCGATCGTGCCGTACCTGTAGCGGCGAAAATGATGGCAATTGCCAGCCCAGTCGAACCTGGCTGCTGAGCGACAAGCGCTTGAGGCCTGAAGCTCAGGACACGTAAATATCTACAAATCTCTTGGCTAGCTCAAACAATTCGAGGGCCCCGACACGCCTCACGTCCGAAAGCGCATTTAGCCGGGTTCTGCCTGCCACTGCCTTCTTTAAAGACCGAATTGCTCAATGGCGGATTTGCCCGTGTAGAGGCCGGCGGCGATCTGCCCGAGGGCCGCAAACATGGCGATCCTACAAGCAATGCTGTTGCTTGACAGGTGTGCGGTTTTGGCGGGGACGCCGAGGCTATGCTACTGTCGTACGGACCTTCAGACGAACCGAAAACTTAAAACACCCGCGACCGGCTCTCGAAAAGCACAGGAACAGCAACACCCGTAATACCCCCTTCACGCTCCTGCCGTTGTTGATCTCGCGGTTGCGCATCTCATCCGAGTAGTCATCTCCAACCAAAGGCAAGGGATTGCCAAAGTTTCCTCGGCAAACTAGGCAATCAAAGCTGAGCCACGATCGGGGACCAAAGTCGCCAAATCACATGAGATCCAAGTTGCCTGGCTCTTTGCTGTCGTCCTGGACGAACACGGCCGCCTCCAACACCGCGATGATGGCGATGGTGATGAGGAAGCCCGTTTGACCGGCACCTGTGCTGAAGGCCGAAATGTCCTTCGGCACGCCCTCCATGCCGGGCAGCTGAACCAGGCTCTGCGTCAGCATTCCGAGGGCGCCCATCATGGCCAATCCTGGAGTACTGCCGGGCTCGTTCTGGTATATGACAGATGTACCCTCAAGACTCAAGCTGAGAGTCCGAATTCTCCATTAGTTGAGGCTTGAGAATGAATCAGAAAAGCACCTCAAAAAGAGCTTCAACAAGGACAAAGGTTCTGCCGTGCTTGAGCTCCTTGGCACGCAAGTCCTTGAAGGAAGCCTCGTCCTTGCAGAAACCGGCCGGATCAAAGAATCCCAAGGGCTCAGTGACGCCAATCTGTGCCTCAGCGCTAAACTTGCAAGCCACGGTCTTGCGGGCAGTCGGCTTCTTCGTGCCCACAAAGCTCATCACCGCAGCGCCCGTCGTGGCAGAGACGGCCAGCGCCGAGTAGGTGCTGAAGCTAGACTCAGCCTTCACTGCTGTCGAGCCTCGAAGGCTGGTGACGGCGTGGGAGGTTCCCGGTGCCACAAAGGCATCGGCGCAAGGCGCCGCGAGGAGGCCCGCAGCGATCATGCTCTTGACGGAAGCCATTGCTTAAGTCCGAGGGAGTCTGAGATACGCGCGAGAAGGGGCCGCTGTCAAGCCGAAAGAGTCTCACCGAAAGGCCTCTGCCACTCTAAGCAACACCCATGCTAAGGGACGGTGGTACCTCCACACTTCGCTGCTAACAGCCGAGCATGCTGTCGTCCGACTCCGACAGACCCCTAGTACTGTCTCTCAACACATGCACATCTGCATCAACCTCTTCAGATGCTTACTAGCTTACTAGGTACCAGGCCTTTGCGTCTTTCGAAGGAGGTGGCTGGTCAGCCGGAGGGGGTTTTCCCTCCTCGAGGCAATCGAGGCGGGGACCGTGCCCCCGCTTTAGAAGTGGAACGGCGTCTGGCGTCTACACTACGACCCAAAAAGGAGTTATGGAGTTCCTCCACGACGCCGGGGAAAGCCCGGAGCTGGTCTCCGTGGCGGATGTTCCCACTGGCAAACCAAACATGGCAGACAAGCGGTTAGCAAGCATTCAAATTTGTTCCTCCTTGTTGGTTAGTTCTTCAGATTGCCAAGCCTACCTGTCTGTGCATGGGGAACACAAGCAATTGAAGATTGAAGTATTGTGTTTCTGCAGCAATCCGAAAATGCAAGCAGTCGTCAAATTGCAGACAGCATCTTCGAAATAGGCAATCTCGACAGCTTGCAGCACATCGGCTGGAATATCCGACGCGGATTCGAACAAGGCTCTGCCAGCAGAGCACGACGAAGTGCTTCCCGGCAAAACCCTTTCACCACCGATACCTCTGCGGGCGCATGATGAAGCACCCTGTGAGGTCGGAGCAGCGCACCGCCACGGAACGTTGGCATCATTTGGGGTGAGACGAGTTCACTTTGCTGAACTGGGTAGGAACTGGAAGATTCCAAACTTACAATGCAAGGCGAAGCAAACAAAAACTCTTAGTCTCTATATGTCCGTATAAATTATGTCTGCTTTCCAGCTCCCGTGGCACCGAAAAGAACGATGACTTCTGCACGCAATCGCAAGTGGAGAATCCATGCGAGCGGACGACAGCTGCACTGCAGCGCACTCCCACTCCAAATTAGAGAAACTGTCCTCCTCAGCCCACTGCAAACCTTGGCAATCAATTCACACCCCACAGTCCTTGATTGACAGATCATTCGCATCAGGCAGATGTCATGATCAGTTCCGAACCAAGCACGGTATGGCAATGCCGTGACGGGGCACGCTTGGCCGAATGGCAAAGGTTGGCCAAATCAAACAGTCACACAAGGCAGACCCAACAACGCAGCAAAAGACTTTGCCACAGATTGTTGACGCATCCGATCTTACTGCATCCCCAGCAGAAGGAAGTAGCTCAGGCCAAGGCTATGACGACCAGGACCCATCCGAATCATCCTTTGTGCAATTTGGTTGTCAGCAAGCACAGACTTGCGCAATCAGGATCTGGTACGTGTATGCTGGGAAGACTCCCCGAGTAAGTCGGCCATCTGCTTCTCCACTTCTTCCTTGACAATCCCGAGCCTGAGAGGACAGGATGTGCTGGCAAGAGCTGGCCCAAGAACATTCTCAGCAGCAGGCAAATCATCAAGTTTGCATGACCTCGTCATACGTTCCCGACCTGACAAGACGGAGACGAGGTCTTCTGTACAGGTACGTACAGGTCGAACTAAACCTTCTGCCGAGAGCCCCGCTTTTTTCGTCGCGCACCTTTAGCATGAAGCTAAGCTCGCTTTTGAGATCCTCCCAAGCCTGGCCGTGGCTGTGGTATTGCCGCTCAAGACCTTCCGTGCAGCACTGCCCGCTTCTCCTGTCTGGTTTTTGTCTGGCGAACCTCCTTATGCACCTGGATGAAAGACGATCCAATGCTGTGGACAGGAGGCTGAAAATGAGCGGACTCTTGGCCGGCCGATCTTGGCCACCGGGCCAGCACGGTCAAGTCTTCTGCAAGCCAGTCGTTGGGACCGACCGCTTGCCTCACCTCATCCTGACATACTCATGTTGAGACCGGACTAAGACTTTGTACTAGCACCCACAGAAGCTTCCACACACATAGCAAATCTTACATCACGGAATCCGGGGTGTAGAATTTATTTTGGCCCT